AAAAGTCGTTTTTCCACTTCCAGCCATTCCCAAAACCAGAACCGACGGTTTTTGTGCCAAATTTGGTCCCGTCTGGGTGACTGCAATTTCTGGAATTTCCGATGAAGACGGCTGTTGATTTTCAGCAGACATTTCTTTTCCTTTTTGGCTGGAAAATCCAAAATTTCACTGAAAAAGCTGAAAAATGGGCTAAAAATGAGCTAAAAGTATGGAAAAATGGCTTGAAAACCATTCAAAAAATTGCCAAAAATCAAGGAAAAAAATCGATTTTTACAGCTAGAAAAATATCGGAAAACCAGTAAAATTTGGTAAAGAAAATGGCCGGAAATTGGGAATTTTTGAGCTTTTTGGGCATAAAAAATGGGAAAAAAAAATTCTAGAAATGCAGAAAAAAAATAAATAGAGGCGGGGCAAAAGACACGAATATAGAAAATATATCACATGAAAATAGACTTTTTCGATTGAAAACGGGACGACCATGGCGTATTGTCCGGGGAAAAAGCTTTGTAGGCCACCAAACTAGAATGGCCATAACTCGCTTCAAAATCCTTAAAATTGAGTTTTTGATTGTGAAAAATGATTAAGAACTCTAAAAATTCGGGTTATTTGTTAATGAGGGCCACTTTCTGATATCTCCTACAGTAACCCAGATAATTGAGCTCTATTTTGCAGTCTGTGTGAGCTCGGCAACTGGCGAGGGCTTCGACGACGTCATGACGGCGATTTCGGAAAGTGTGGAAGCCTATAAAACGGAGTATGTTCCGATGTATGAGAAGGTGTTGGCCGAGAAGAAGGAGCTGGATGAGAAGGAGAGGAAGAAGCGAGAGGAGGAGGTAAACTTGGCTGGAAACAGCTAGAAATTTGAATTTTTGGGTTTCTAGGCCATCTAGAATCGTCTGGAATGGCCTAGTATCCCTAGAAATCCAGTAAGATGGCCTAGAAATCCAATTAATTTTTGAGTTTCTAGACCATCCAGTTGTCATCATGACCTAGAAAATTCCATAAATGATTCTAGCCCACCAACTGGATTTCTAGGCTATATAAACCTTGGTGGCCTAGAATGTCAAATTTTGGATTTCTAGGGCATCTACGGGATTTCTCTTATTTGCCTTCGATGGCCTAGAAAATTCGAAAATTGGGTTTCTAGGCCACCAAACCCATAATGGCCTAGAAATCCGGTTTTTTTGAGTTTCTAGGTCATCATACAAAACCTAGCTTGGCCTAGAACCCCTAACAAGGACATGTTAAATCCCAGATGGCCTAGAATCCCAAATTTCTGGTTTCTAGGCCATCCAGTTCTTGTCGTGGCCTAGAAAACTGAATTGTCTAATTTTTGAGATCCTAGGCCATCGAATGAAAACACAGACCAAACTATAGAATCACGACTTTTGGGGGTTTCTAGGCCACCAGAACGCCCTAAATCAGTTTGTGGCCTAGAATCTTAAAATTTTGGTTTTCTAGGCCATCCAGTTGAGTCATGGTGAAGGAGCTTCTGAAACACTTTTCGAAATCGAACAACGTCAAATTCGACGCAAATTACGCCGATTTTAAGTTGGTGGCCTAGAAGCCCAAATTTTGTGAAATTCTAGGCCATGGTGTACATGGTTCGAAAGAGCATGTTTTGAGAGTTCCAATTCAGTTTTCAGATGGGAAAAATATCGATTTTGAAGCTAGTTATGATCATTTTAGTTTGGTGGCCTAGAAATCCAAAACTAGGCCATATTGCCCCGAATGTGAAATGATCATAACTCGCTTCAAAATCCATATTTTCAAAATCTAAAAACTGATTCGGAACTCCCGAAACATGCGCTTTCGAACCATGTGCATCATGGCCTAGTTTTTACAGAATTTGGGTTTCTAGGCCACCAACTTAAAATGGGGCGTAACTTGCTTTAAAATCGATATACTTGCAGTCTGAAATCTGTATTGGAACTCTCAGAGCAGCTCTTTCAAATATCCTTGATGACCTAGAAACCCCAATTTTGGGTTCCTAGGCCACCAAAAAGAAAATCTCAAAAATTTCCAAAATTTTTCTAGGCCATGAAGGGAAAAGCGGTGCACGATTTGAACAAACAGGATGGCGATGGAGAGGACGATGATGGAATGCTGGAATCGGAGCTCAACGCAAAAGTGGACCGCATTCATTTGGGTGGAGTGGATGAGGAGAATGATGAGGACGCTGAGATTGAGAGAGCCACTTAGTTTTGATTTTTTGATGATTTTTGACCTGGAAATCGTTATTTTTGACCCAAATTTACCTATTTTTCGCTTAAAATCTCATTTATTTTTCCACATTTTTGAGCTGAAAACTGTGATTTTTCGCTATTTTTCCACCCATGTTGGCCTTGAAAGTCCCTATTTGTTTTGCTTAAAATCCCACTTAAATGTAGTTTTGGGCTCAAAAATGATCGATTTCAAGATTTTTGAACCTTTTTGACCTGAAAATTGGATTTTTGGCTTATTTTACCCATTAAAAATCATAATTTTGACTCATTTTTCTCCTCAAAATGTGTGATTTTTTGCTCCAAAAATGCTCATTTTCACCTTTTTTTTCTCGAGAAAAATTACGATTTTTGGCTGAAAAATGACAAATTTCATGATTTTTCGACCACTTTTTTTCCAATTTTATAGCATTTTTAACCTAAAAATTGCGATTTTTTTCGGCGTTTTTTGACCCAAAATTGCTTATTTTTTTGCTTAAAATACCTATTTTCCCCCATTTTTTCCACATTTTAGAGCTGAAAATTGTGATTTTTGGCTCAAAAATGCCCTAAAAATCACCCAATTTTTTCTCATTTTTATCACAAATTCCATCAATTTTTTCCAATTCCCATCCCTGTCGTACCTCATCCTTCTTGTCTGATTCTCCAATTTTTTGTTGTTTTTTGACTGTTTTTTCCCGAAAATTCGGAATTTTTTGAATTTTTTGAACTTTTCCAAGCCCCTCTTGTTGTGTTTTCTCACCGCCGATTTTTTCGGATTTTTTCTTGGATTTTTTTAATTTTTGAAAATCCCAAAATTTCAAATTTTTTTTAATTTTTTGACATTGTTAACTTTTTGCATAAAAACAATCGAGTTTTTGCCGATTTTCATATGATTTTTTGAGGTTCCTGAACCCAATTTTTATACCGTTTTTAACCCATTTTCAGTTGAAAATTTAGCTGAAAATAGGCTCATTTTGAGCTGAAATTTGAGAAATTTTCAACCTAAAATCATGGAATTTCGCGGAAAACAAAAAATGATCAAATTTAGAAAAAAAAAACGTCTATTTTGAAGCTGAAAAATGGCTAATTTAGACATTAAAATATCTAATTTTCTAGGAAAAAAAAACATATTTTAGGCTGAGATTAATTTCAAAAAATAAGCTTAAAAAGGCGTTTTTCATCGAAAAAATGGTCCAGAATTCGAATTGTTGAAAAATCGAGCTGAAAAAGCAATCCCCGATTTTCAGAGAAAAAAAAAAGATTTTTTTGATTTTTTTTAAATTCGAATTTTCAAATTTTCTCTTTTTTGAAAATTTCGGGTTTTTGGCTGAAAATGTGCCGATTTCCAGCTGAAAACAGCTGAAAATTTTGGTGGCCTAGAAAACCAACATTCGTGAGAACTAGGCCATGGTGTATATGGTTCGAAAATGCAAGCCTTGGGAGTTCCAAATCGGTTTTTAGATACGAAAAATATCGATTTTGAAGCGAGTTATGGCCATTTTAGTTCTGGTGGCCTAGAAATCCAAAACTAGGCCATACGTCCCAAATTTGAAATAGCCATAACTCGCTTCAAAATCGACATTTTTCAAATTTAAAAACTGATATAGAACTGTCACAGCACGTTCTTTCGAACCATATCGACCATGGCCTAACTTTTGGAAATTTGGGTTTCTAGGCCACCAACTTAAAATGAGCGTATCTCGCTTCAAAATTGTGTTTTTTCGAATCTGAAAAGTGATTTAGGCATTCTAGACTAAGAATCACCATTTCCTAGCTTTCCTTGGAAGTTTAAGGCAATTTCGAATGATGGCCTAGAATCCCAAATTTCGGATTACTAGGCCACTGTGTATATGGTTCGAAAGAGCATGCTCTCAGAGTTCCATATCAGTTTTCAGAATCGAAAAATATTGACTTTGAAGCGAGTTATGACTGATTTAAGTTTGGATTGATATGGCCTAGTTTTGGATTTCTAGGCCACCAAACTAAAACTGACCTAAAAATCCAATTTTTTCCAGAAAACCAGGGGAAACCTATAAGATGTCGGAGAAGACATTTCACAAGGCGCAAACAATCCGAGACAAAGCCGTCGGCTGCCCGTCCATCGTCGAAGCCGTCCAATTCCACGGCGTCAAAATCACCAAGAACGATGCCCTTGTAAAAGAGGTGTCCGAGTTGTACAGAAGCAAAAATCTGGATGAACTGGTGCACAACTCGCATCTAGCGGCACGTCATCTGCAAGAAGTCGGACTGATGGACCACGCCGTCGCCCTTATCGATACGGCGCCCAATTCCACTCAGGGATATGTTGTCAATTTTTTGGTCCGGGAGCCGAAATCGTTTACGGCTGGAGTCAAGGCGGGTGTCTCGACGAATGGAGATGCCGATGTCAGTTTGAATGCGGGCAAACAGAGTGTTGGAGGACGAGGAGAGGCGATCAATACACAGTATACCTATACGGTTAAGGTGAGCAATCCCGGAAGCCCAAGGATTGGCCAAAAACGCCGTGAAAATTGGCCTAAAATAGCTTGAAAATGGGTTTCTAGACCGTGAATGGCCTAGAAAAGTTTCGGGAAAACATGTTCATGGTTCAAAAGAGCAAGTCTTCAGAATTCCAACGCAAGTTTTAGATTTGAAAAATATCAATTTTGAAGCGAGTTACGCCCCATTTATTTCTTGTGGCCTAGAAATCCAAAACTCGGCCACATTGTTTCAAACTTGTTCGATTCGAAAGCTCATGTTTTGTGAGATCCATATCAGCTTTTAGATTTGAAAAATATCGATTTTGAAGCGAATTATGACCGATTCAAATTTGGGCAGATATGGCCTAGGATTTCGATTTTTTGGATTTCTAGGCCACCAGAACTAAAATGACCACAACTCCCTTCTAAATCGATATTTTTCGAATCTAAAAACTGCTATGGGACTCTTAGAGCATGCTCTTTGGAACCATGTACACCATGGACTGGTTTTCACAAAAGTTGGATTTCTAGGCCACCACTTGGAAATTGGAAAATCAGTTCATGGTGCACATGGTTCGAAAGAGCATGCTCTCAGAGTTCTAAATCAGTTTTTAGATTCGAAAAATACTGATTTTGAAGCGAGTTATAACCATTTTAGTTAGTTGGCCTAGAAAACCAAAACTAGGCCACATCGTCCCAAAATCTTGAAATTGCCATAACTTCTCTAAAAATCGATATTCTTGAAATCTGAAAACTGATATGAAACTGTCAGATCTTGCTCTTCCGAACCATGTACACCATGGACTAGTTTTTCTGAAATTTGGTTTTCTAGGCCACCAACTTAAAATGGGTATAATTGGCTTCAAAATTGAGGTTTTTCAATTTTGAAAAGTGATCTAGAATTTAATTTTTAGTCAAAAAGAATGGAATAAAAAAAGAAGAATGGAATAAAACTAGGTGACCTAGAAACTCAATTTTTTAGCTTCTAGGTCATCGAAAATCAACCCAAAATGCTCAAACAAGCATTCCAAATTCTTCCAGGGCGATCACTGCTTCAACATCTCCGCCCTCAAACCATTCCTCGGATGGCAAAAGTACTCGAACGTCTCGGCAACCCTATACAGATCCCTCGCCCACATGCCATGGAATCAATCGGACGTTGATGAGAACGCGGCGATTCTGGCGTACAACGGACAGCTGTGGGACCAGAAGCTGTTGCATCAAGTCAAGCTAAACGCCATCTGGAGAACACTTCGTGCCACACGGGACGCCGCGTTTTCGGTCCGCGAGCAGGCCGGGCACACGTTGAAGTTCTCGTTGGAGAATGCGGTTGCTGTGGATACCAGAGATCGGCCGATTCTCGCGAGCCGCGGAATTCTTGGTAAGGGTGATTTTGGAATTCCAATATCAGTTTTCAGATTTGAAAAATCTCAATTTTGAAGCGAATTATAGTCATTTTAGTTTGGTGGCCTAGAAATCCAAAACTAGGTCACATCGTCGCAAATTTATAATGGTTCGAAAGAGGATGCTTCGGCAATTCCATATCAGTTTTTAATTTTCAAAAATATCAATTTTGAAGCGAGTTATGACCAATCCAAATTTGGGACGATATGGCCTAGATTCGGATTTCTAGGCCACCAAACTTGAAATGGTCATAACTCACTTCCAAATTATTTTTTGAATCTGAAAACTGCAATGGAACTCTAAAAATGTTCTCTTTCGAACCATGTACAACATGGCCTAACTTTCACAAAATCAGGATTTCTAGGCCACCATACTAATTTGAGCGTAACTCCCTTCAAAATCAATATTTTTCGAATCTGTAGATTGTACTTATCGTAGCAAAATAAGAGCTTTCTAGTTATGATCATTTTAGTGTGGTGGCCTAGAAATCCAAAACTAGGCCACATCGTCCCAAATTTGAAATGACCATAATTCGCTTCAAATTCAACATTTCTGGAATCTGAAAACTAAAATGGAACACTTAAAACGTGCTTTTTCGAACCATGCACATCATGGCCTAATTTTTAGGGAATTGGGTTTTCTAGGCCACCAAACTAAAATGACCATAACTCGCTTCAAAATTAAGATTATTCGAATGTAAAAACTGATATGGAACTCTCAAACAATGCTCTTTCGAACCATGTACACCATGGCCTAGAATGTCACAAAATTTGGGTTTCTAGGCAACCAAACTAAAAAAAAAGGCGTGAAACTCTTGTTAGGGTCCAGAAAGCGGCTAATACTGCGCTTTTTTAAAAGCTAAAAATTGATCGAAACGACCCCAAAACGGTCCGTACCATAACTCCTTTCAGCTTATCTATTTTGGGACCTACTCAAGTGGATATGATAAAACATCTCAAGAGCTACAAAACGATGCTGTTTGGAATACTGTATCTCGTCTATGAGCTAAGTTAACGCACGCCAAAAAATTGACCATGGAGCTCTCGCGGTTTTTGGCTTGTAACTTTGCTCACAGACGAGATACAGTACTCCACATTAGGTCAATTTGTAAAGCTCATCAAGATCTACCGTATCCAACTTGGTTGGTCTAAGAATATAGAAGCTGAAGCTAGTTATGGTCCGGTTGGTTTTAAAGCCGATTGTGGCCAATTTTGATCCTAAAATAGTGCATATTTATTCATAAGATTACGATTATGTGCCCGAAACTGTTGTTCAATATTTGCGAAACTCCATGATTTTCAAATTTCGAATTTCCCATATTTATTTTGCAGCTCGATTCGCTCAAGAGTATGCTGGCATCTTCGGCGATGCGTCGTTCGTCAAGAATACGTTGGATTTGCAGGTAAGCTACATGAGTCGACTCTAGAAATTCTCATTTAGAAGTTAAAAGATCCTTTAGGATTCTAAAAATTTGTCTACAGTAATCCTAAATATTGTCCCCCATGAATAGGATTACTGTAGAAAACTAGAATCCTACCACCATTACAAAATCACGGCAGAAAGGCCGTCTAAGAAAGCTCGACCTACAGTCACCCTCAAAACTTCGTTGACCTAGACTGCAATAATTATATGACTAGAATTACTGTACTTTGGCTGGAAAGACGCAAAACTTCTCATTTGGGGCAATTTGGAGCTATTTTAGAAGCTTTCTTCGTAGCTCAAAATATCCAAAATTGCTCGAAATTGATTTTCTAGAATTCTGGAATTCAGACACTTCTGGAGAGGTCCAAGCTGCTATTTTTGGCATTTTTTAGAGATTATTGGATTCCTAGCTTCCTCAGCTCTCGAATCACACATCTACAGTAACCTTCCCACAGACCGAGTCTTCCAAACCCTCCTAACCATTCGTAAATACCATCTCTCCTCTTCCTTCCCATGTACCCATTTGGTGTACTGGCTAACAGAAAGGGAATCCAATCCAAATGGGTCCCTGGATCAATTCCCCTCTGTGGTCCAAATGCAATGATATTCTGTAAACGACGACGTCTCATCTCAATCCAAATGATACTGTATTAACGGAATACACGGTCGGATGGGGACATGGGCGAGTGTCTAATCTTCTCTCTGAGCATTTCCCTTTTTGGGGTTACTGTAGATGGGTCTGAAGCCTTCTGCAATTCCTTTGAGATTGGGAATGGCCTACAGTCATCCTAAATACTGTAGCCTATACTAGGATTACGGTACTTTGGGGGGGGGGGGGGCAAGACAAGATACAAAACTATTTATTTAGGCACATTTTGAAGCGTTTTTATTCGTTTAAAAGCTGGGACAACGACCCTTAAAGTTTTGGTTTCAAGGCTTAAAATACCATAAATCAAATTTTCCAGGCGGCCGCTCCCCTTCCCCTCGGCTTCTTCCTGGCCGCCTCCTTCCAAGCAAAGCATTTGAAGGGACTCGGCGAACGT